TTTAAGGAAGGAGAGGTACAAGGAAAGGGGGTGGGGACAAGGGGAGCAGGCTATGGAGAAGGAAAGGGGTAGGAAGGGGTGGAGAGTTATGGAGGGGGTGATGGAGAGGGGAGGGAGGGGAAGGGGGTGATGGAGAGGGGAGGAAGGGGAAGGGGTGATGGGGAGTGAGGGTGGGGGAGGGGTGGTGTAGTGTACATGGTTGTAGACACGTTTGCATGAACACGTCGTCGTGTCGTCATCATCGTTGTCCATAACATCGTTCTGTGGGTGCTGGGTGATGTAGACGTGTTGGCGTGGACACATCGTCATTGGCGTAGACGTGTTGGCATGGACTCGTCGTCCCATTGTCGTCTGTTGTCGTCATTGACGTGGGCACATCGTCCCGTCGTCGTTGTCATCTGTGGCATCGTTCTGTGGGCACTGGGTGGCGTTTTGTGGGTGCTGGGTGTTGTTTGTGGGCGCAGGGGTGTTGTTCGTGTCCACTGTGTATTGTTTCGTGTCCACGGGCGGTGTACGTGTCTGTTGGTCGTTGTTTTCTGTCTGTTGGGCATTTTTCATGTCCGCGGGCATGGTTTTGCATCTGTTGGCCGTTGGCCGTTGTTTCGTGTCCGCTGGTGGTGTGCGTGGGTGCTGGGCATCGTTTCGTGGGCAGGGTGTCGTTTTCGTGGGTGTTGGGGTGTTTTCGTGGGCGGGGGGTGTTTTCGTGGGTTCTGGCGCTCGTTGTTTCATGACGTGGCATCGCCGCGTTGTTGTTGAAGGGTGGCGTGGTCGATGTTGGTGGTCGTGGTGGCCATGGGTGATAGACGAGTGACGTGGGTGGTGGTGGCTATGGGTGATGGTGATGGCGTGGCGTTGGCGGCGGCGACGAGCATGGTGGCGGTGGTGGAAGAAGAGAGTGACCGTGTTTGGTGAGCAGTGTTTGCCAAACAAGCATTGTTTGTTATCCATTGAAAATAAATAAACTATAATACATAAGAAAACAATAAAATAATCAGATTACAGTTCCTGCACATTCTGGGGAATGCTATTCCTGCCCATTCCTGGGAAGACCATTCCAGGGACCATTCCGGTGTAAATTCCGGAATGATCAGATTCCACTGGAATGAGAAAACACAGGAATGACAAATTTAGCAGGGCTTACTGCTAAATTTCATTCCACCGGAATCCACAGGAATCCACCAGAATTCCACCTGAATGACTGGAATCCTGCAGGAATAGGGGGGGCACTGATAAGACCTCGGACAGGTGCAGGAGGTTTGCTTTCGGTATATCTTTTAAACAACCCCATCAGTATCAGAATGTTGCAAGAGACAAGGAAAAACTCATACTATCAATATAATCCTCACACCCCCACGGAACCTCAATATCCACAACCCACCCCTCCTCATCGACCCTCTTTGCCAATGTCCTCAACCTGTTCATGTCGATGCTAGGATCTGTGATGGAGAGGTAACACAGTTTGGAGAGGAGGAGGATGGTGGGGACGGAGGTACTGTCAATGTTGGGGTTGGTGGCGAGTGTTAGTTGGGTTAGGGTTCGTTTGAGTGGGATGAGGAGGTATACACTGTGTGTGGAAAAAGCATGAGTGAGTCAGAGAGACGGGGGGAGGAAGACAAGACATACGGCTTGTTTCCTATCCCTGTATTATTCAGAAAGAGAATGGAAAGCTTGGGGAGGTGATGGATATGGATGAGGTCGAAATCGTGTATGCGTGTTCCACTGAATGAAAGTTCAGTTAGGAAGAGGAAAGTATTGGGGGTGCTGAACACTGGTGAATGAAGAGGGATCAACGATGCAAGATGGAAGATAAAGGGAGTAAAAGGGTAAGAACATACCCAGGAAAAGGTCCTTCCCACATAAGTTGAGCCCATTCTCGTCAAAAAGGGAGTTTACGAGGGATATACGCTCCATGTTGGTGGTATGCAGAATGTCGAGGATGCGGCCATTAATGTGTCCTTTGGCCGATCAAGTAAAATGAGATATATGTGTAGTAGTGAGGAAATACCATGCTCTGAAAGAAAATCCATGTTAGCTTGGTGTGAAGCGTTTTTGATGTTCTTCAGTCATTCAGATAATCGAATCCCAGGTATAATGTCGTCCAGATCCTTGATGAGCTTATCCAAGTTGGGTGGGGTCAAAGATTTCGGATGGGTTTTAGGTTGAAGCTTGCTAGCAGGAGAAGAGGCAACAAGATATGTGAGAGGTTCCCTGTTGTTGTGAGTGATGTCGAATTTCGTAGAGGCGTTATACGTAGACTGAGACTCAGCTGATCTGGAGTACTTGGGTGGGCCTTGGAGGTCACTGAAGGATGATAGATGTCTGCGTTTCAATACCATTGTTTCAATAGAGCCATGGCCATTGTCCTTCCGAGTACTCTTGTGTTCCAGATCATTGACAAAGGCAGAGTACGGAGGAGGCAACAGAGGGTTCAAGACACCAGGATCGACAGCCCGAGCATGAGATACATAGGTGCCGACGATCCAGTCCACGTTGTCTTCAGTGTCACTTTCTGAGGTCGACTGGTCGAGGGTCCTGGCAAAGGAAATGAAGAGTTCTTCATTGCATTGCCTGGTAGTAGAAGTGGGCCTGTGAATCTGAACACGGTGTCGCAGAGAGCTGAGATAGGTATTCGCTGATACAGATAGGCAATAAAATGGGTTCTTGTCATCGATAGCAGGAACATTGTAGCTGTACGCAGGCATATTGAAAGTACGGAGAAAGAGAGAATTTTTGAATTTTATGTAATGCAAAGACGTTGTTTGGCTTGGCATTGCTCCTCTTCTTCCTTCATTGACGATGACAAGTTGCATTCCTGACCCAGTCCCACCCTACTAATTGACAAATAATGATTCATCGCACAGTGGAAGATATCTCAACAGGCTCAGATTCAGATTACTCCAGGTAACATAGCTTGCTCTAGTGTTTGAAAGTCCGGTTCGGTCCGGTTTTTTGATGCCCAGGGGCGTTAACCGTAACCGTAACCGGTCTGCCTTTTCCCCAGAAGTCAAAAGACCAGACCGGACCGCAAAAAGACCGCAGACCGCGGTTTTTTGCAGTCTATAGACCGGTTTCGGTCTGCATCAGTTTTAACCGGTTTATGACCGGTCTTTAGGCCAATATTTTAAAATTATGAATCGGTAAATTTATTAACATCTCTAATAGCTTCAAAACGAGCCCAAGAACGTTAAATCCCGTTAGGTATTGGTGCTTCTATAAAATAAGTCTGGTACATCTATTATTCCCAAAAGTAATTTACATTTTAATTCATATCTCTCTCGTTTTTTTACCAAATCGTACGTTCTTGGGTGCGTTTTAAAGGGTATTTAAGGGGCTACAAAAAACTGGTCCAAACCGGTCAAGACCAGTTCACGTTAACCGGTCTTTTTGCGGTCTTTACATTTCAAAAATAAAAGACCGTAACCGCAGGTCCGGTCTTTTGCGGTCTTGGTCCGGTCTGGTTATGGTCTTTTTCCAGTCACGAGACCGGACTTCCAAACACTAGCTTGCTCACTCACAGATTCATTGAAGAACTCACTCAACTACCAATCCAGCTCAGTACGCTCGCTCATCGATACACTATTCTTATCGTGATCGCTCACCCATCCTCACGCTAGTGGATCTCATGGTTCCTCTCATCAAAGGGCAATGAATACTTCTGCGAAGTAGACAAGGACTTTATCCTCGACCGATTCAACTTGACAGGCCTAAACAATGAGGTCGTGAATTACTTGCAGGCCCTCGATCTTATCACTGATAACTCTTCCCCCTCACCCACATTTGTTCAGTTCATTGACAGATCACACCAGACGACAACATCCAAGACGAACTCTGGAGCTCACTCGATGTCCAAGCATGCCTCTTATACAGGCTCATACATGCCCAATGGATAGTCACAGCCCGTGGCCTCTCCAAAATGGTTTGTCCCTCCTCATCTCACCCTCCAACCCAGCTCGAAAAATACAAACGAGCTGACTTCGGTTGCTGCCCACACATCCTCTGCCTCCAACAACCCCTCCTCCCCATAGGCCTAACCAACATCCCCTATGAAAAAGTTGTAAAACTCTACTGTGGCCACTGCGAAGACCTCTACTCACCCAAATCATCCCGACATGGCTCCATTGACGGCGCGTATTTCGGAACCACCTTCCCATCTACTCATCCTCGTCTATCCAACCTTGATCCCCCAGCAGGCGCAGGAGGGGCAGGCACAGCGGATGGCGGGAGGACAAGGAGGAGGGTGAGGGAGGAACAGGTGGAGGTTAGTGCAGCTGAGGGGGGAGGCGAGGGGATTAATATGGTGAGTGCTGCCCTCAAGGCGGATTGGTAGATATATGGCTTCCAGGTTAATGAGATTCCCAAGTTGCAGAGGTGGCAGGAGGCCATGCAGGATCGGTGAGTTTTGTTTGTTGGGTAGCGTGATAGGAATGCTTATCCTTCCTAATAGGCAAGTGGGTCGACTTGAAGTGCTCGAGGAGAGGACACCATAATATGACAATGTTTCCTCTTTTTTTTCCCCCTTCTTTCATGAATGTGCAGTCCCCCAGACTCCCATTCTAACCTGCTGTGTTAATAATTAATGGGGGCATGTACTTGATCACCTCTTGCTTAATTGACCAGATACTATGCTGGCTTTTGGAAAGCTCACTGCTGGATTTTGTTATACATGGCATCTGGAAGATGTTTCTGCCTGTTAAAGCAACTCCCACCATAACCCCTCTACATTCATACAGATGTACCTACTGGTGGTGACTAGCCTGAAGTCCCATCCTTACCCCCTTATTCTTCCAAGATATAACACAGATATTAACAGCTGCTAATTGACAATCTCTATTGTGAGTTGGGTGAAATTGTTATTAGGCAGTGGAGTTGCAAGTGTTGTATACTATCTTCAGGGGATAGCTCAAGGTAACATTAGTACTTGTATGTAGGAACTGTTGAAGGTTGGCAAATGCATAAAGCCAAGAGTACCAAGTTGCCAAACACACCTCCAGCTCTGTTCTGATGATCACAGCCAGTGGATGGTCTGTGGCTGCAAAATCACAGAACTTTGAGCAGCAGCTGACAAGAAGATGAGGAGGGCTAGGCCATAGAATGGATGACACAACCATTGTACTTACACCCAATATCAGGTAATTCTTTCAATTCAACCTGGAATTTCTTCTCTGATAGCCTTAAACTTGTTGCACTAAGTCCATTATATTGCACTAAATACTACATTCAAGAGACATGAGTATTGCACAGCTGAACAAGTCAAAATAAAGCAAAATTAATTGTGAAACATATCCAACATTCATCATCAGTATGATGAAATTTGTTCAGTTATGAAGTTATATCTATGTATCCTGTATTTTAGTTATGCATCAGAGTAGAGAGATGGGGAAAAATACCATAGGTTCAAAAAGACAGAGGAGTCATCAGGACTGAGCTGTGTTACCTCTCTTCTTATGAATTCCAAGTGACAGCTTGGGTTTAAATTTTGAGATTCTCTTGGCAATGCTGGAAAAGAGGTGACCTGGGAATATGAGCATCAAAAATATGAAAAAGCAAGTAGCAGCTCAACTAAATACCTTTCTTTTCAGAATGAATGATTGCATCATCCAGATTAGTGGTAGGTGGAACAGTAGCTGGAGCCCCCACCAGAACTCTGTTGCTGGCATGTGGAAATTCATTGTCCACATTTCCCTCCTCCACATCTTGGGTCACAGAAACTCCATGGCCTGTATTGTGAACTTGGTTCTCTGCATCATCCATCTTTGTGGACTGACTCATGGCTTTCTGTGTTGCAGCTAAATTCTGCATGGCTATGATTGTGTGTGGGTGGTCTTCTCCATAAATCTTTCTCCTAGCATCCAGAACTTGGACCTCCAGCTGCTCTGCTTCTGTATATTTTCCCACATCTCTGTATGTTGATGCAAGATTTCCCATGGCTAAGATTGTGTCTGGGTGTTCTTCTCCAAGAATTTTCTTCCTGGCATCCAGAACTTGGATCTCCAGCTTCTCTGCTTCTGTATATTTTCCCAGGCCACTGTATGTTGATGCAAGATTTCCCATGGCTAAGATTGTCTCTGGGTGTTCTTCCCCAAGAATTTTCTTCCTGGCATCCAGAACTTGGATCTCCAGCTTCTCTGCTTCTGTATGTTTTCCCAGGTCTCTGTATGTTGATGCAAGATTTCCCATGGCTAAGATTGTGTCTGGGTGTTCTTCTCCAAGAATTTTCTTCCTGGCATCCAGAACTTGGACCCCCAGCTTCTCTGCTTCTGTATGTTTTCCCAGGTCTCTGTATGTTAATGCAAGATTTCCCATGGCTAAGATTGTGTCTGGGTGTTCTTCTCCAAGAATTTTCTTCCTGGCATCCAGAACTTGGATCTCCAGCTTCTCTGCTTCTGTATATTTTCCCAGGCCACTGTATGTTGATGCAAGATTTCCCATGGCTAAGATTGTCTCTGGGTGTTCTTCCCCAAGAATTTTCTTCCTGGCATCCAGAACTTGGATCTCCAGCTTCTCTGCTTCTGTATGTTTTCCCAGGTCACTGTATGTTGATGCAAGATCTCCCATGGCTAAGATTGTGTCTGGGTGTTCTTCTCCAAGAATTTTCTTCCTGGCATCCAGAACTTGGATCTGCAGCTTCTCTGCTTCACTTGAATATCCTTGTTCACAGAGTAACCAGCCAAACCTTTCATAAGCATCATCAAAGTAATTGTTGTTATACTGCATATTCTTTCTGACATGTGTCACCAAAGTTCTCCTAAAGCTATATGACTGACTTTCATCATTTTTCAGAGAAGCAGATAATATAGCAAATGCCAACAAAGAGCATTTTTGCTTTTCACTGACACTCATCCTATCCCCACCCCATGCATTTACCAGTGGATGCATACTATGCACCCTACCAGATGCATCTTTCTTGATTAAACAGAATGACAGTAAGACTCGAACCCCCTCTTTAAAGTGTAGATTATCCCAAGTACCATCCATATTGAGTGACAGCAGTTTGTGATCTAGAACAGAATGTGCCAGTGGTAAGTCAGGGTGAGACATTGTTTCATTTTTTTGAGTAGCAGCATAGCAAAAAATTTCTTCACTGACACTCTCATGATGAAAAAATGGAAACAATTTCAGTAGAAATAATGCACTGTCAGCTGCTCTAGCTTTGTGAAAATCATGAGATCCAGCCCTCTTTTGGATTTCCTCATATGATAACTCCCAAGTTCCATAGACACTTTTGTTATATTTAGATGCCCCAGTGAATTCAGAATGTGATAACAATGTCTCTCGATGATGGATATATTTATCAAGATAGTCTCCAATGTTTGAAGCTCCAGAAGCAATGAAATGCACCAGCCTGATCAACAGCAAGAGGTAAACAACATAGCTCTGCCACAATCTTAGAAGCTTCTGCTTTAAAATCCATATTTAAACTGCTAGCTTTCAGAAGTAGTACAATAGCATCCCTTTCTTCCAACTGTGTCACCTCAAGAGAATTCTCTTGCAAAGTCAAGCATTGGATGCTAGCATTGCGACTAGTGATCAGAATGTTTCCCCATCTACCAGGTGGAAAATATCCCTCTAGCTCAGCAGGAGATAGAACATCAGCATTATCAAAAACCATGAGATAGTTCTCTTTCAAAGAGCCAATCCAGTGCAGAGCAGATTCAGGTGACCCATTCAATACCAAAGCCTTAGCTTCAGGAAGAAGACAAATGCCCTTAAGCCCCTGTAGAATGCTGCCAGCAGAAGATGCATCAATCCAGAAAACAGTATAAAATCTGGGGGTAGCAGCCTTTAGTAACAAAGATCAGGCACATGTGATAATGTGCTCACTCATCAGACATTTCCTCAATAAACTTCAAACAAATTTGAGTCTTTCCAATACCTCCCATTCCATGCAGTAGAAAGTACTTTCTTTTCTGAACACCATCCGTGGAATTAGCGAAAAAATGTTCCTTGAGTTTTTTGATAATCTCCATTCGACCTGTGAACCGAGTGCTCGGGTTTGGCACAAGGGGGATTACCGCATCAGATATTGCTAAGTTGTTATAGATGTTTATCTGCGAGAAATTCAGGCCATCAGCTTGCTCTACGAACAAAAACCCGACAATTTCACACACAGTGCTGGCTGCGTAGATTGTGCCGCTCACGACAACGTCACGAGCGCCCGGAAAAATATTCGTTTCACTCATGCTGAGGTGGAGAAGACACTGGTATGAAGTGGGCGAAGGAAAGAAACGAGTACCTGACGCCTGGAGACCCCCAATACTTCCACGTGTTGAGCACAGCGGTTGGCAAACACCTTTCAATCTCAGACATGATGACGATGTTTGTTAGGAATTCCGTTTGTGCTGGAGTTGCCAGCTCTCTGACTCGCACAATCAAATGGCAACCTCACAGACAATTAGAAGGGTGACAGACCTGGTCTACGGTTCAAGAGAAAAGCATCGCAAATGACTTCTTCCCCTTTGACCGAAACGAAGAAACACAAAACAATTTGTTTTCGAATGTACCTTCAATTCCTAGGACTCCCTAAGGTTCTATCAACTTCATTTCACGTGTGCTGCGGTGCTGACTCGCTTTCAAGTCCATATTGCCTCTACACCTCCTCGGGTCATCCCTGCGACGTGACCATGCACCCTCTACGTCGACCGCCAATGTCTTACATGCACTGCTTGACCCATTTCTGCTCACGACCGGATCTACAGAAACGAAGCTGCCAAATACCGCGAGGAGCTGCCCAAGATCCTGATGAACGGTGTTGGCGCGGGGGAAATGGAGAGGCGGTGTCGCATGAAAAGGCCGAGGAGGAGGACCGGACGTGGACCCGCCCAACACCTCCAGCACCTTTGGAATCGTCAAAGAAACGCAAGCGGTCTGTTCGTCCGCAGCCGGCTGTCCCCGTTCTCACCTTGGAAGTCCATCTGAAAGTCTTCATGGAGAAACTGCCACTGTGACAGTTAGCCGTCAGTTTGGCTTGTCAAGCAAGTTGCGCGGTACAACGGACGAACGCGACTGGATGCAGATATTCCGCGAAGACATTACTGAGCCTCAGTACGTTTCTTGTCCCCTCAAAAATCGTACCAAACTGATTCTGGGCCTCAAATCAGGTACAAGGCGGTACTACCAGACCAATGTGCCACCTCCCCAGCCACCGAACGATCCGTCTACCCTAACCGCTGACCGTCCTCCGCCCTATCTACTTCCAGACAGCATTCCCCGGCACTTTCTATGGCCGCAGTACGCAAAGAAGCCACACGCGGCTACACTTGCTCGCTGTCGTTCCCCGTCCACATCTCTCGAGCAGAAACGAAGGGAGAGAAGGAACGCGCGGGGAGTGTGGAAATTAACAAGAAACGCGTGTTTAAACGCGAGGTTAGCATGCCGCGGGTGCTGAAGCCCAAGCTGAAGATACAGCGGACAGAGGTCAAGGGGTTGGGGGTCGGGCAAGGGAAGGAGAAGGCGGGTGGGAAAACGAGCCCGAGGGACGTGGGCGTGACTTTGGTGGAGGAACCGCGTGCGAGGTCTTCTTCGCAGTCTCAATTGCCATTCCAGCTGAACTCACAACCGGCAGTCAACGACAAGCGACTGGACGGCCTGCTTCGTCGTCATCTAGGGCTGGGGGCCTGTTTTCTCATCTCGAGGCTAGAGACTACAGTCTCCTCCTAAGATGGACCGCAGTTACAAAGACCATGCTGTTCGATAACATCCCGTCGAACACCTCGGCTAAATTTCAGCTGCGGGAAAGTCCATCTCCACCCGCATCAAGGTCCCAAAAAGCCCCAAATCCAGACCCCGGACGCTCTTAACACACACTTGAACAAAAGCAGCCAAAACCTCTCAGTACA